AGAGATTCAGGGAGATGGAATGGTTTACTCAAAGCAAAGGAGGAAAACAAGGAAAAATGAGCAGAGATTAGATAGACAACTTTGTGTGAAGTCAAGGGGAGGAGTGGTGGTAAGATCGGATAAACTCTGAACAACAGGCCAAGGTATTTATTTAGGAGTGCAATGTTTTCTCTGACTTGCTTATGATGTAATTTTGACATATTTTATTCTATCACCAAAAAATAGAAACACTTTTTTAATAAAGTGAATATACATTTGACATGCATTCTAAAAACCACAACTACCAGCACACGAGTCCAGGAGAAAACCAAGCTCTTAAAGTACATCTATAAGGACTTCAAAGAGTTCATGGAAAAATGAAATGCAAAAAAATGTTGAAATCCTGGGCCAGCAGGTGATATGGTAGTTAAGGTGCTGGACTCCCACGTGGCCAACTATGGTTCAAATCCTGGACCTGGCAGTTCTCTCTGTGTGTGTGTGTGTGTGTGTGTGTGTGTGTATGTGTGTATGCGTGTGTGTTTCTGGTGAGTGTGGATGCCCTGTAGCAAATTTTTAAAAAGTAATCATGATAAATAAAATGAAATAAATAATTCTTTTTAAAACTGTTGAAATTTACACATAGATTTTTTTTTTCATAATATGGATTGTCTATAAGCCTTTTGAAGACTCCTGGTATATGATCTTCTGTCGCCAAACCTTTATTATTTATTTTTTATTGCTTGTTCATAGATTTTTGTCACTTACAAATGCTAGCAAATATCAGTTGGGAGCCTTCCTACTATGGAAAAACAAGTATAGAGAAAAAATATTTACCAGCTAGGAACATTCTGTTCATTAACTTTTCTCTGTGAATTGGGGAAGTACTATGGTTATTTGATACCAAGGCAGACCACCTTGGTTTGGCTCATAGAACACAGTCTTCCCAGGGAACATGGATTAAGCCCCACCATGGACCGCAAGAGCCAAAGTCTTGAAAGGATAAATGTGTGCTTTTAGGCAGATTACTTTGGTAACCATAGACAGGATGGGTTAGTGAAGGGAGCAACAGCAGACAGGAAGGCCAGGTGGGAGATTACAGCAGTAAACACGGTAATCCCAGTTGGAGATGGAGTAATAAGACCAGATATTTACACAGAACTAGTTATACAAATTCTTTTCACAGACTCTCCTTAAAATGATTATGTGAGGTAGGTAGTCATAAAAAGAAAAGTTAGCATTTTCATTAAAAAGCGGCTGGCTATGTGAGAAACATTTTAAGAAGAATGGACAGGACTCAGTGATGTATGGTCTGGGGAGGGGTGGAGGATCAGGAAAGAAATCAAAGATACTCCTGAAGTGTTGAAGTTGAGTGACCGGGAAAACATTGCCGCTATTAAAAGCAATCTAGGGGAAAGACTGATGTGAAAGGGAGCTTGTGATGGTAATTTTATTTTTCCTTTTTATTTTGAAATAAGCTCAAATTTATAGAAAAGCTTAGGGCCAATAGGTGGCATGGTGGTTAAGGAAGCTGGACTCCCACATGGCGGACTGTGGTTAGAATCCTGGACCTGGTAGCTTGCTTCCTCACTGTCTCTCTCTCTTTCTGTCACTCTCTGGTCAAATGAAAAATAAAATAATAATAATTAAAAGAAAAAAAAAGCTATACTAAAAGAATAATAGGGCCAGCTCCATGGCCTGGGTCAGTCAGATCACACATAGCCAATCATGTGATTCTCATCCCGACCAGCAGCTTATTGAAACATGCCAGCACGTGTGTGTGCGTCCACAATCTTTTTTTGTTTATATATACACCACAGATTAGTTTATTTTTAACACCCATCATGCCGTGAATTCATAGGGAATAGGTTCTAGTAGCTCAGGCTCCTTTCCATTGGTTCTCACAAAGTGTGCTTCTCTGGGTGGAGCAGGCTGGCGCTTTAGTTGAACCCAGGTACCTTTCTCTTTGGCTTTCTTCTTTTTCTGGTCATTTTCCTTCACACATTTAAAATAAAGCTTATTTATTTACTTATTTATTCCATGAGTGAGAGAGATAGCCACAGAGAGGGAGAATGAGATAGAGACAGCATTTCTAACAAGGTGTTGACACTGCGGTCCACCTTCAGCCTGAGCCAGCCCGAGATCATGGTCATTGCCCAAGGGGTATGCTCAGGTGGTCTCAGGGCCTGTCTCTAGGACCTTCCCATGTAGGCTGTCCTCACAGAACAGTGTCACCCCAGCACCACCTCTGGCCCCTACACTTAATTTTTGACTCATTACATTTGAATTGCCCAGATACCCAGGGAAGAGAAAAGCGAGACTAGAGTTTGTGAGGGAAATCTGGATTGGAGGTAAAGGCTGCAGATTGCAAGCACAAAAGCTGTGAATGAGGGGTCAACAGGTGGCCTGGCGGTTAAGGCGCTGGATGCTCCCTTATGGCTGACCATGGTTGGAGTCCTGGACCTGGTTGCTGGCTTTCTCACTGTCCCTCTCTCTCTGTGTGTGTATCTCTCTTTGGCCAAATTAAAAGAAATGAGTGAATGAATGAATAAAATTAAATAGATAATTATATTAAGAAAAGTGGTGACTGAAACAGGGAGGACATTGCTCTGAGGGAATTAGAAGGAAATTCTAATTTAAGGAACAGGTCCTAACAAGTGGCATGGTAGTTAAGGGGACTAGATTCTCACATAGTTTATTGTGTTTGAGTCCCAGGGACTCAAACTAAAAATCACACTGGGCACATGTGCGTGCATGCCCAAAAATCCCAAGGGAAGAATGGAAGAGAAGAGATTGCATTGTGGTCATTTCCCCTGGGTGTGGTGGGGTGACTTCTCACTTTCCCTCTGTCTAGCTCTGTCTCTGGCAAGAAAACGCACCCTATAGCAGAAACTCAGAAACATAAAACAAAAATAGAAAGGAAAACGAGGAACTGAGGACCTGGCCTTTGGAAACCCTCAGATACTCCATAGAGAGAGAGAAAGGGAAGCCGAGGTGTCAGAGGACTGCACCAGAGCGAGGGAAATCCAGCGGTGCGATGATACAACGGCCAAAGGAAGGGGGTTTTACAAGGGAAGGCATTCAGCCATGTCAATGCCGCAAAGAAGTTAACGGAGGTGATGGACCAAGAAAAGACCCTTGGTTCTAACAACCAGCCACCACGTTCGTCCTAACGTGGGCTCGGGCTCGGGCTCGGGCTCGGGCTCGGGCTCGAGGAGGGAAATCGGAAATCGTGCTAGCAAGGCCGGCCTCCCAATGCCGAGCAGGCACTCAGGGTCCTGCGCTTAGGCCAGTTCCAGCTGGGTTTAAGGCTTCGCTGTCTTGCTGGTGCTCGCTTTTGAGTAAAAGGCCCGGCGCTTTCGTTCTGCAGTGGACCCTGTGAGTTAAGCCGTTGCCCCAGGGGCTGAGCCAGCGTCCAGTACTCTTGCCCATGCGGGTATTCTTGGTCTCAGTGGGAGGGCAGCATCTTGTGCCCGGGCAAAGCCCTGGGCGGGGTCGCCTCACCGCTGCGGGCAGATTTACAGACGCAGGCGAAGGAGGGGTTCGGGATCAGCTAAGCCTTGGAAACGCAGCGGGACTGGAGAGGAGTCGAGGTAGAAAGTCGGCCAGGAGGGGGCGGGACCGGCTGGGGACGAGCCCCGGGCCCAGAGAACACCCAGTGCGCCGCCGACTGCGGGTTTAGCGATCGGCCTCCGGGAGGCGCCGCCCGGGAGCGCGCGGGATCCGAGA